TAATTTAGCATCTAGGTTGATTCATATCTGATAAATCTAATATTTGTATTTGGTAGCTAATATGAAATTGTTATTTTGTTACTTAGTCATGAAGATACCGAACATCAATGATGATGAAACAAAAGTTCTAATTGACACGTTGATTGACTACAAAAATCACAATTTGTTGCCTCCCTAAGCGAGGTTCTCACAAGAAGATGATCGATCGATCGATTGTTAGATGTATTGTGCAGGCGTGTGCCATGATTTAGCCTATCATTTACTGAGTTTTTTTGAATAATATTTTTTTGGGAATGTCACTATTTCACCATTGCTGAGATATTGGAGACAAGGAAATTTGCATGGGANTATGCCATGATTTAGCCTATCATTTACTGAGTTTTTTTGAATAATATTTTTTTGCGAATGTCACTATTTCACCATTGCTGAGATATTGGAGACAAGGAAATTTGCATGGGACACTCGAACCAAAAGTATAGTAAAGGTTTGGTGGAGGGATCAGACGAATATTTGGAAGTAAGTGTAGTTCATTAAATTAAGTCGAACATACATTTAGATGTTTGCTTCATTTGAGTATCATACATTAAATTTATATATTGTTTGTAACTACGCAATGTAGGAAGTAGATTTTGCGGCGGAGTATTGTCTAGATCAATGTTCAAACTATCAATTTTTCGAAGTTATTTTCAAAAATGATGTTCTTTCATCAAGCATCCAACCTTCAAACAATGTAGGATCATACCCACCAGTTAACTCTAACCCAAAAGTTTGATGTCATCATCATTGATGATTGATTTCTTGCGGTTATCCATTACTCATTATGGTAGTATCCACAAGTCATTTTGGTAAATATGTAACTAATTTTGTGGAACAAACAGATGTTTAATCACCTAGTTTGTTGCCAGTATTTTGTATGCTCTTTGTACAAGACATGTATGTATTTAGGTTCTATTAAAAACGTTATCCATATTGCATTTTTTTAGATAGGGAGGGTCTACATAAGGCAAAAATCATAGGCGGTCTACAAACTTATGTATAATATGTAATTGTCAATTATTATATTTTTTTCCCAATAAGTTGTATTTTCAGATGACAATTTATAGGTGTTGTACCTTTTGATGGGCGAGTCAAATGAAATTGTCATGAATTATGTGTTGCATAAAATTCAATAAACAAATTAATTTTTTTTTTTTTNAATTTATAGGTGTTGTACATTGACTTTTGATGGGCGAGTCAAATGAAATTGTCATGAATTGTGTGTTGCATAAAATTCAATAAACAAATTAATTTTTTTTTTTTTTGNCTTTTGATGGGCGAGTCAAATGAAATTGTCATGAATTATGTGTTGCATAAAATTCAATAAACAAATTAATTTTTTTTTTTTTTGGCTTTGTGTTGTTAAAAACATTACTTATTGAATTAGGAAAATTTTGTTCAAAAAGAAGTACCTAATTATTCTAATTAATTTTTGACACCATAACAATCCAAAGTTGGTATATGATTGAATTAGATTTCTTTACAAAGAGTGCAATGGTCATTTCACTATTTTTCATCTACACATGTGAATGGGATCCACAAAAAAAAATGTTCTATATCCAAAGATGGGATACAATGAGATAAGATTCATTGGGGGTGTTAGGTTTAAGGGATAAAAGCAGATAAAACAAGTTGTATTGGACAAAAGAATTGAGGGGTCCACAAAATCCAGCTTTGGATCCTTTTTTTTTTTTTTTTTTCTGAATACGATAAACATTGGGCTCAATAAATCGGCCCGTATGAAATGAGGCCATTTATCTTGTTTGACCCGGTTCCATGTATCCCACCTGAGCTTTGGGATAACCAAGCCAATGAATGGGATTGAAGGTGGAATTACACAAAAGCACTCTAACCGTAAAAATTTTATGGTTTTTACCCAATTTGTTCTCCACTTCACCCCGGTCCCCTCCCTCCTACAAACGACGCTTTGTGGTCCTCCATTGCCGAAGGTATTCCACTACCTTTCTCTCACTCGCTGTCTCTCTCTCTTTTCTCACTCTCTCGATGTGTATATAGATATATATACATATATTTGTATAGATCGAAAAAGGAATTTTTTGTCTGTATTGTGAAGGATCTTCTTCCATGAATGTGATTCATGCTCACCTCTTTCTCTCTCTCTCTTTATATATATATATATATATATATATATATATATACATAGATCAAAAAAATAAAAGTTTAATTTTATATGTGATATTGTTGTGTTCTTCAATTTCTTAGCCCCATAGTCTACCTCTCTGTTCAAGAGAGGTGGATTTTTTTTTTTTTTTTTTGCTTCCCTCCTCTACTCCATGATTTGTTCATAGATTCTTGTATACCCAGAAAACAGTATTGTTCTCACGCTCTCTGCGTCTATCGTCTATCATCTATCTCTCTCTATATATATCGAAAAACAAAAAAGTTTATATTTTTTATGTGATACTTATGTTTTCTTCGAATTCTCACTTCCCCCCCCCCCCCAAAATCTCCCTCTCTATTCACGACGAAAACATGTGGTTTTTTTTTTTGCTTCCATCCTCAACTCCATGATTTCTTCAGACTGTGATCCTAGTTATACTTAGATATTTACAATCGTAAACTAAAAAAAAAAATCAAATCAAATTATGTTCGATCTTTTCCCATGGTGAGATAAATGAAAAATGAAATAAATATAAAGGTGGACAACATTAATAAATTTTCAAAGCCAAACATGAATTTGAATTGGATAGGAGTGAAGGTTAAAATTATAATTTAATGTGAAAGTGAAGAGATTTAACCAATAAATATTATATTTCGTATGTGAGCCTCATAATATATCAAATCACTTGTCAAATCAAGTATATGATTAAATCTCTTCATCTATATCCGAGTTATTGAGTTTTTATTGGATATGTTTAGATTACAAAACCAATCCTATCCTATATGTCAAAACTTTGTCAAACACCCCGTTAAGGATGAATCAACCTAGACTACTTTACATTGAGGTAGATTGAATTCAGATTTGAATCCAATTCAACTCAATCCTCCCATGGGATCCAAACACCCATTACTGTAATTGATCAACTGAAGCAAAGCAGAAAATTTCCCATGTGTTGGTGTGATGCTCCAAGTCCAAGCAGAGGAAGAAGAGGGAAAATTCAAAATCAATCTCCAAAAATATCTAATTTCATTTCAAATTCCCGCCCACTTCAAATCTCCTCTCTCTCAAATTGAGAGACTTCATCCACTCACCACTGCTTTAGNTACTCACCTCTTTCTCTCTCTCTGTCTCTCTCTCTCTCTCTCTTTATATATATATATATGTACATAAATAAAAAAAATAAAAGTTTAATTTTATATGTGATATTGTTGTGTTCTTCAATTTCTTAGCCCCACAGTCTACCTCTCTGTTCAAGAGAGGTGGATTTTTTTTTTTTTTTTGCTTCCCTCCTCCACTCCATGATTTGTTCATAGATTCTTGTATACCCAGAAAACAGTATTGTTCTCACGCTCTCTGAGTCTATCGTCTATCGTCTATCATCTATCTCTCTCTATATATATCGAAAAACAAAAAAATTCATATTTTTTATGTGATACTTATGTTTTCTTCGAATTCTCACTCCCCCCCCCCCCCC